TACGTGTGCATAAATGTTAAAATTAACATTACAGGTAGTCCTTGACTTACGACCATTCGTTTAACAACCATTTGAAGTTAAGACGGCACTGAAAAAAGTGACTTATAACCAGTCCTTGCACTTACAACCATTGCAGCATCCCTGTGGTCACATGATCAAATTTCGGGTGCTTGGCAACCAGCATGTATTTACGATGGAGGCAGCGTCCCAGGGTTACATGATCGCTATTTGTGACCTTCCCAGGGGGCTTCCAACAAGCAAAGTCAATGGGGAAAGGCAGATTCACTTAACAACCATGTGATTCACTTAATGACCATAGTGATGTGCTTGCAGCAAAAAAGGTCGTAACATTGGACATGACTCACTTAACAACTGCATCACTTAGCAACAGAAGTTCTGGTCCCAACTGTGATTGTAAGTTGAGGACTACCTGTATGTATAGTATTAGAATCTCCATCAAGTTTTTAAAACAGAAGACACATTCATATAACAAAAGTAGTGGTCATTCACTTCAGTAACTTCAGTAACTGTGCTAACTGGCATCACTCTGAAGTGATTTGTTGTTGTTCAGTCGTTAAGTCGTGTCCGGCTCTTCGTGACCCCATGAACCCCAGTTTCATGCTCATCTGAAGTCATACATCAGAGTAAAAATGAACTATTTAAAAAAGGGTTTTTTTCAGTAGGCAAGAAAATGTAAAAAAGAAGCATACTCATTCAACCCTAGATTTTCATGTGAGAGTTAATTCTTTTTATTTTAGATGAATTATAGTTAACTGTATCGAGTTGCCATAGCCCTATTGTATGCAAAGAAATGCATACTTCCCATGATAGTAAGGCTGCACTTTAAAACAGTGTGTGTGTGTGTGTGTATAAAATCATACTTCACTGCAAAATTACATATTTGTTTAAAAAAAACAATGAAATATGGAGTCCTTGGGGTTATCTGAACTTGGTTGGTTTCTTGCAAATGTTTTGTTACCCGGCTAGGTAACAGTTTCAGTGCTAGAATGGAATGGGGTTTTGGTGGGAGTGTGGGTTTTGTTTTGTTTTATTTTTTCCCTCTGGTAGTTCCTTGATTCCTGCTTGATTGTATGTCTGGTGTATAATTCATTTTAGATAGTGAGATGTTCCGGTCTTTTGTTTTCCTTTCTATTGTGTCTTTTGAATAATGTGTAGATGTTGTTTATCTCTATGTGCCAGTTGATGGCTGCCTTGCCTGAATACTAAGCTTCCAGGAATGCCCTCGCATTTTTGGATTTAGCTTGGTCTGAAATGCTGACAGTTTCCCAGTTGAACGTAAGGTTAAGTCTGTCCATGTGTTGTGAGATTAAGGAGTTT